TCCCCCCAAGTCACACAGCACTCAAAAAGCAAGCTACCGAAGCGTCCTGTTTTGCAACCAAGTTTTCAGGACAGAAAAAACAAAGACAAAATCACACAGAAGCTCCGCTCCCCCAGCGGCTTAAACCTAATAATCATATTAAACACGAAAAATGTAAAGCGCCGACACATATCATAGCATGGCTACGTCGTACCGTCGCGTATCGGTACTTTTGCCAAAAACACCACTACAAAAATTCACCGTTTATTGTGAACACCAAAAGGTATTTAAAAAATTTGTATCTTGGGCTTAATAAACATAAAAAAACTCTTTTTGGTTCCTGTTTTACTTCGGATTGGCAAAATGATCGAAATTATGAGAACCATGAGATTCTCTATCGAAACAAGTATTCTTGAAAGTTTATACTATCACCAACTTTGATTACTCCTTCTTAGGGTACTTATAACCCTTAATTATAAATAAATATATATGCAAAATAATGATAGAAAAAGTTATATAGTCTTTTTGCTACAACGTTCTAAAACAGCACAAAAGAAAAGAGTTGAAAAGATTAAGTAATTAAGATTAAGAAATTCGCTTTCTATGGTAGATTACTTAAATAGTTTATAAATAAATAGATCTACTTAAATAGTTTATTAGAAGAATTTAGAATAAAAAATTCCACGATTCATGATGAATCTTTCCACGTTGATAAATTTTCTGTTGAAAAAATTAGGAAAAAGGATTGAGATACTACAGAGGTAAAAAAATTCTCATTTTCCAATAAAATATCCACTTGAATAGTTTGCTAGGAACGTTCAACGTTCAGTTATAAATAAAACAGCTTTCCGTGCTAAAAGCTTTGGTATGAAACCGCAGTATATCCGTCATTTACAAAACATTAGCTTTTACAGAAATCAGAAAAATTCAGAATTGTAAGAGTATTAGTTTCAGCTTATTTAATTTAAAAGAACATTATTTTTCAAACTGTTTCGAATATACTGCAGAGTTATAAAGAGCTTTGAAAAATAGCTAAGAGGTCTTTGTAGAGTATAAAAATTCCGATTGAACCGCGAATAAGATATCTTTATATTCAGTAACCCTTTCGATTAAGAGAAACAACTTTCTCTCTCTCTCTCTCTCTATCTCGATAGTGTCTTTATTATTACTTTTAAAAATATTCATCTCATCGAGCTAATTCGACGTATAGTAACGTAGATTTATTCACGAAATTTACGTTTAGATTTATATTTATTCATGAAATCTACGCTTCAGAATGAAACATTGAGCTTGTTCGTTTGTATTCCAACAGGGCTATTGAGAATTTCTGCCTGGAGTATGATAAATGCAAGCTTTGAGATAAATGGTAGTTATGGAAAGTTGATTGAAAATTATGATACAGGTATCAGTTTGAGGACACATGTGGGATATTTGTTGTTGCATGTGGAAAAGAAATAGGTAGATAGATGCTTGAGATTGAATGAGAATTGAAGGAGATTGAGTGAAATTTGAAAAAAGTTGTTGAATGTTGTTATATTCAGAGTAGAGTACTTATAGATTTGGATTTAAAGTTCCTTTGTTGGAATGTTGTAAAGTCTTACTTTCATATCGGTATAGAAAAATTGTTAGAGTTTTCAAGAATTTATAGAATATAGTTTCTATGTATGTACTTGTTATATTATGAAGTTTGATAAGATCTAGAATGTAGAAGTAATTATTCTATCGATTTAGAGGTAGACGGTTGGAATATTTTACTCTATATATATATATATATATATATATATATATATATATATATATATATATATATATATATATATATATATATATATATATATATATATATATATATATATATATATATATATATATATATATATTACATATATATATATGTATATATATGTAATATATATATATATGTATATATATATATATGTATATATATGTAATATATATATATATATATATATATATATATACACACATTATTAATGTTCAAACTGTTCAGAGTAAAATATTCCTAATCTAGAACTCGATAAAATTTTATATAGATATTGAAATAATGCTTAAGTTTATATGATACGAGTTAAGCGAAAACATTTCCATTTCCGGGATTCTTTTTTAAAATAATTAATTATAAGAATTGAAGGAAGGTTTATTTGTAAATACTTAAGAAAATAAATATTACTCTGATAAGAGTAAACGATATAAAAAAGATATGTAATTTAAGAGTAAACGCATATACATTTTTTTATAAAAATCAAGTACGTTTTACAATGATAGAATAAATGAGCGACTTAATAAATTTGTAAAAAATAATAGAAAATAAAACATGTTTGAAAATGATATTGTGGTTTTGTATTATAATAGTATAATACTACAGTAAATTCTTTGTTATTACATACTTTTATATTTTGTATGTAGAGTATACAAATTTCTCTTTTGTAAATTTATTCCTATTATGCAAAAGATTTATGGGATTAAAAACTATAAAAATACCATAATTAAATTTCGCTTCCAAAATTATTGTTCTATGCGTTGTTCTCCAGTGTCCTATTGTATAATAACAAACATAATGCTCCCTATTTCGGTGTCAGAAATCTACTCACGAAACTAGCAATACGTTACTTGGTTCAACGTTTCTAGCAAAACGATGATGTGATGTACTAGTATACAGGCATCAGAGTATTCCATTCAAACCTTCTCACTCTCTTCTGCATTTACAAATATGGGTAAAGCATCATATATAGCGAAAAGTTCATAAATTTTTTACAAAAATGTGGCATATTCAAACAGATAGACAGAATCTTAGCCCCCGCTTCAATCGACTAGAAGAGCTTATGTCTGAAGAATTATCAATGCTGATGGTCCTCATATATTCATAGTTTACGAGACATTGAGAGAAATATAACAATATTAATACATTGGATTCTGCTTACACATCATATATGTTACTGTGTCCATAGACACAACCGATGGGATAGTCGCTTCGCTCGTATCCAACCGCCTCACGATTGCTGAAGAGCAAAGAATGACTTAAACCTAATCTAATACCTTCTATGAACTATGTATAACGGCCACCCGACGCACACGTGCAATGTAACATCGCTGTGATACCGCAGCTACAACAACTGTGCGATCGTACGCTGTCGCCGCTATTTATGAGTATTTAATGTGGTGATAGCGGCGAAGAAGTTAGTACATATTGTGAAGAAGCAAAATGAACATACATGAAAAAGCGGATAGCTTTTGCATATTTACGTGAAATGTAGATTATTCCTGCGACTATTTTCTGCGGGATATCACTGCGATTATGTCTTTCTTCGACAAAAGTCGCTCGTTTACATCCGGCCTTAGTATACAAATACTTCGTGAAATCGCAGAAAATATTGAGTTCGTTCGTTTGTCAGTGTCCGTCTTGTAAAAAGTGCATTTACCACAATATTTATAAATTTTAAACAGGATGAAAATAAATTTTTTATTTATTGAAATTAAGCGTCGAGATCAAAAATACCAATAGTAGCATGTGACTTATCGTACCACCGATCGAAATGCTACTTGTCATTTTAAGGTAAATTAAAACATTTTAATGCGCTGTTTATTCATGTTAATATTATGTATACATATTACATATTAACACGTTTATTGACATTGTTAGAACGCAGAAAAACAGGAAACTTAATATTAAATAATTAAATTAATGACAACATAAGTACACACAGAAAACGAAAATCTAAAGTAGTATTAATATAAAGCCAATAATTATAATAACAATTTTTTAATAGCAAAGTGATAATAATCAGTTGATATTGATATAAACGGTGAAATTATAAATGGCAGGAAGAAAATATTATTTTTTATTTTATTTATTATTGCTTAGTCCGTGCCTTTTTCTACATCTCTTATGTTTATTTCTCTTCTTATATGTCTACCTCCCCTCTTTTCCACTCTATTCTATTGCACTCCCTTAATTTCTCTTCTCTATTATTGCTTTTAGTTCTGTTAAACCTTCTCCAGTCTCATTTAGCGTTTTTCCTATGTCCTTTGGTCCTCCCGTTATTTCACATTCTTCCATTACATGTCTCAGGTCTTCTTCTTTCCTTCTACATAGTCTGCGTCTTTTTTCTCCCTCTTCTTTCCAGTATTCCCTCGCTTTGATCTCGTTCTGGCCAATATTCTTCCGTCCTTCCACTTCATCCTCCCTTCTAAGTACTTTGGTCATTTTTCTTTCGCTATATTTCTGTAGTGTACATTATATTTGGATTCCCTTATCCTTGTCCCCCTCTCTTCTGCTTCTCTCTTTCTTCTTTTTTCTATAGTTTGGTCTGCTGTCATCCTTTCTTGCTCCTCTCCTGCTTCTACCTGCGTCCCTCGCTTTCTCACCTCTTCTAATCCCTTCTTTCTCTTTCTTGCTCTTTTCCCTTCATGGCCATTTCCCCAGTTTCTCTCTCTTTCCTTTATACACTCTTTTACTAATTCCTTTTTTGATTCTAGGGCTTTCTCTTCGTACCTCGTTGCTATTTTTAATGCTCTTTCTCTTATTTCTATTAACTTGCATTCTTCTATCAATATATAATTTGGTGTTGTCATATCTAAGCCTAATATCCATTTCGCATATCTTCTTTCAGAAAGAAAATAAATGTTATATATTAGGTTGTCCGAAAAGTATCTTTTATTTTATGAGGAAATAATAGACGCACAATGTTTTTTGTTTATTATTTTATCGAATTACGTACGATCCATTTTGTTCTGTTGAGATAAACACCGCGACATTTCACAGACTTGATTTCACGTTTGTATGAAGCTGCATCGTCGCAAAAAACGTTTGCGAAAGAAAGACACTTTCCGGACAACCTAATACATGTTGCATTGTTAAATATGTACGATATTAAAAATCATATAAATCTGTGTTTGAATCTGTTGTACTGTTACGTAAATTGTGTGGAATGGAATTTTCTCTCGTAACAGGTGATGATGTATTATTACGATCAAAGTACGTTTATTGAGAAATGTACTGCGAGTGAGATATCGATTCTGACACTCAGTGTTGTAAATGATGAGCGCATGATGAGAAGCTATGTATGATATTTTTTATTAATTTTAACATCTCCCTTCTAAATTTCAATTTCTGGTCTAAATTAAACAGTCTGACAGTGGATAATAAGAAATGAAAAAAAATATATTTTCACCTATTGTAGTAGATCGCGTAGGTGTATTTATGAAATTCAATAACGAATCTTCTATTGTTTCTCTACGGTGGCGTTTCCTGGG